AAGATATACACACTATTTTGAAAGTTAGAAATATTAAACATATAAAGACTAATTGAGTACAAAGAGGTCACATGGTTGGTCAAATTGACTGAGCTCATGTTGAGAGAGAGTTAATAATTTTATAACTCAACAAAAAAGAAGTGGCAAATTAAACATAATAGAAGTGGGAAGGACTGTTCTATTCCTGAGTAGGAATTTAAATTATGGTTGTTGTTTTTCTTAATCTTAAGAGTATGCCCTAAAATTACATAACTGATTCACACTTTCATTGTTCTTTATACGTTTACGTGGCAATGATGTCATTCTACAGTGCTATTCTGTTTTTCATAATTGGTCAGCTACACTCAATACCTCGGATTTTCCTGTTCCATTGAGTAAAAGTCCATTAATTAGTGTGGAATAAAATTGTCACTGTAATATTTAAAATGTAGATTTGCTTGCATTATGTGGTTATGATTATGCAAAGATCAGTTTTATGATATTCATGTGGGTTTTGTCAATGAACTGAAACAAACATCATTCAATCACAAAAAAAGCTAGCTTCAAATTCTTTGCACTTGGAACACAGACATGAAACCTGTATGTAAAATAGTGTGAGGCAACTGCAACAAATTATCACTTGAGTCTTCATAATATGGTAAAGATTTTGAAGATAGAATTGAAAACACAACTCTTTTTTGCATATTTTGATATAGTTTTGTTATGATGTTGATTTCTACCTGACATAAGTTAAACAATCCTATTTGCATTTATGTATAATCAGGTGTCACTCTATTACTAGACACTGTATAAAATTATACTTTTTTCTGTGATTAGTTATATCATGATACATCTCTGATGAAATACTGTCAATCTTAATTAAAAACTGTGATGTACTAACTAATAGGTTCCCTGGTGGGACAACATTAAGTTCACTGACTTGCAATGCTAAAATCCAGGGCTCGATTCCTTGTAGTGGACAGAGCACAGATAGCTCGTTATGTAGCTTTGCTCTAAAACAAACAAAAACCTAATAAAATGGAATATGGGAAAAAATGTGTAGTCTAGCACGAGTTTCACAACAAATATGAGGCCCATTTGTGCAATACACTGTACTCATTGTTTTCCCCCCTCCATTTTAGTATGTTTTCTAAAGATCATCAAGTGTGCACATACAACTTCTAAGGATCCAATTGAGCAATCCAAAGGTGTAGAAAAAGGTACAGCATTAACAGTTTCAAAGTTGTTCAATAATTTGGGTAAATTACTTCTCTGCATCAGTAAACACAGAGATTTCTATAACAATATAACAAAAATTATCATTTTTACACAGTAAATGAATTCTTGCAGGCCATGATTATTCCTTTTTACTTCTTAATACATTTGTGTAGTTTAGTCAGTATGTCTTCACACAGATATAACAATTCCAGTGGGAGGTAACTTTAGCTCATAAGTTTCAGATCTTTATATATTTGGTTTGTTTGTTTGTAGTTATGCACAAAGCTACACAATGGGCTATCTGCTCTGCCAACTATGGGTATCGAAACCTGGTTTCTAGCGTTGTAAGTCCACAGACATACCGCTGTGCAACTGGGGGCTATTTATTTGGACTAGAATTTTCACACATTGTACTTGCAGCTATATAAATAATATTCTAATATGAAACTATCAAAGTTTTTTTGAACACAGCTTCACATGTTTATCTGCCAGAGCTCACTTTAGAAACAAAAACAACAGCAATCTAGATTTAGATATCACCATCATTAATCACACATTTAAACTAAAGTTTTTAATAAAATGAACACTTTAAACTTTGAAATTATAAACTTTCCATTCCCAAAAACAAATATTCCAAACAAGTATATATATAGTTACAATGTTTACTACTCTCAGCTTATTAGGTAGTGTAGAATTTGTTCATCATTGCAAAATTTTAAACTCATTCATGCTTTTCACGACTGACATTTCTCATTGTGAAATTAAACACAAAACTTGTTTGATTCTGTGAAAAATGTAACAACATCCTTGCTAAAGACTGTGGGTTTGGTAGTTTTGCAGAGTATCACAACCTCTTAGAATATTCATGTTTACACTTTGATTTCTTTGAATGTTGTTAGTGGTAGTAGTAAATAGATTTTGTTTTAATTCACCATTGGTTTTACCTCCTGTAAATTTATGCTTTTATTATGAGTAGTTAACATTAGCTGTATAATTTTAAAAATTGTTTTGCATTGTTAGTTTTTTATATGTATTTAGGACTAACCTAAATTTTCTAAGCTGGTCAAATCTTGCAAGTTATTATTGTGTTTACAGCTAAAAATATTGTTAACAGTGAGGTGTACCCAGATAATGAAACAAATGCATTCTAATCTTTATAAGTATATGCATAAGAAAAGTCAGTTTAATTATATATACTAATGGCCAGGTTGATTTTTAGTTTATCTCTAATTTCATATCTTACTCTGATTGGAAGTTATTATTTTTATGAATTCTCATTTGTACTCTTATTTTGTGGAGAAATTGGCACACTTATGTAGATGTGTGGATTGATGCTTTGTCTTGATTAAATTAGACCCCATCTGCATAAATTTATAGGTGTAACATACAACCACCAATAAATCTCTGGAAACATTTTGTTACATGTATGTATTTTGTAAATTTAGTATCACCAACAGGGCAATAAGAAATTAGCTGGGCTTTTGAAGCCACTTGTGTGACATACATAACTATCACCTGCTATAATATACTTGTATTGTCTTTACAGTTCATCTTCTGTTTGGCTAGGTGTTTTGGGAGAAGCTTGTGGCCTATTCTTTTATATTATTTTTGCAGATGTATATCTCTGTGAGTTACTTTGTGTACAGTTCTAAGGCAAGTTCTTCTTTACCCATATTTGACTGCTGTGTTCGTGGGATACTTCTGGTGACAAGTTCTTTAACTTTCTTCAATCCCTTTGTTGTACGATGTTAAATGTCTATGAGGTGGGATTTATTTTTTTACCCTGCTAGAACCATGTCTTCTGTTGTCTTACTGATCTCAATACTGTGGGGATCATTTCTCCTTGAAAGTCTCAAATTTTGTGCTTGGTATGCTTTTATAAATGCAGAAGAAGAATTTTGTGTTGGAAAGTCCTGCAGTGTTACCTTCTCAGAAGGGGTGAGTTTTAGGCTATTTGCACTTGCAAATAATAATACTTTATTTAAATTGTAACTAAAGAGTTAGAGCTCTTAACTTGTGTAGTCACAAGCCATGGAGATGGCCAGGAGTGAGATGATTGGATATGCAGATTGTTACCATGAATCATAAATAACCCTTTATAAATCATTGAGCAATCTAGTAGATTAGGTTGATTGATGGTTATATGGATGTACAATTCAAAAGATAAAAAAAAAATTCAAAAAGAATAACAGGCAGATAAGCTGACAAAAAAATGTATATCTGGAGGAACAGTGCAAACATATTTATGCACTGCCTGTATGATGGGTGGACTAGCAGACAAGTGAAATAACTGATTACGCAGAAGAGGATGGGCAGGTGAATAGTTACAAATAAATACAAACACATACGTATGAATTTTTTAATATTTGAAATAACATTATTTTTTGAAGAAATGCTTATAGTTACATTTCTCAGGTTATAATGTTGTGTTAACTACTATGTATTTACAATATATTACCAAAAAGCTATAGGAGAGTACACCTTCTGAAGAAAAGCTTTTGTAATTTGCTACTGGAACCCCATTTTATTTAGAAGTGAGCTCCAACTGGTACATATTTTATGGAATACACCACCACTGCTCTTGCAAAGGAGCTCCAAGTATATTGAGATTTTGCAGTTGTTCATCAGACAACATTCCAAAACATTTTAGATTAGTTCATTTAGATTGAGGCATTGCCCTTGAGTTTATCAAAACAGATTCTGTGTGTTACTTTTTCATACCACTGATGAATGTGGTATGCAGTATGGCATAATGCATCATAATTTTGAAGTGGATGTGACCCTTTCTTGTATAATTCCATCACTGCAGGTAATACATCATTGTCTAGAGTATTACAGTATGGCAAGGCATTCTTGACTCACTTAACTGTTTCTAGTAGGTCGTGTCCAAAACTAGCTAACATAAGTCTACACTGTGATGCTATTCTACCATTCTTCACGGTTCGGGTAACATAATCTTATACAAAACATTTTCAAGTTGCTGTCATATCCAGACCTATCTGTCCATGCAGTGAGTCAGTAATATGATTCACTGCTCCACATAATGGGTTTTCCATTGTTTTTCATTCCACTTTCAATGTTTATGGCACTATGATATCCAATAATTTGTATACACAGCAGTTTTGAACTTTTATTAAAGTCTTGGATGATGGATTTTATGCCAGTTGTGTGGTTTAGTTTTACATGTTTCAAAATTCACAAAAAAATCAATGTGTGATTTATTTTGGGTACCCTAACCAGTATTCCATGTTATTCTTCAGTGTTTTGTGATTTCTTCAACATGTTACCCACAGTGGATTTGGTTTGGGTAGACACTCATAACACCTGTTGCATCTAATATTCATTCCTCTTTCAAACATTGCAGTATGAGATTCACTTATAAATGAGGAAAGGCCCATTATTAGCTTGAGGTGTACTGCTTCAGTACCTTAGGTAAGAGTGTGAATATGTAACTTGCATGTATCTAAAAGTTTTCTATGCCTAATTAATGTGAAGTGTATAAGGAAATGTTGCCAACTTTTCTTGTAATTTACAAAACCATGTTTTTCTTGGTTTTTGTAAATTCATTTCTTGCACAAGTAATCTCTAAGTGATTCTGTCTAATCAAGTAAGTCTCCTGCAGTTTGATCTTGAATTTCAGCTAACACACTAAGCTATATTAGATATATTATGATTAATTCAAGAAGAATAGTTCTTCTAATTTTAATCTTAGATATGTTTGAAAATGTTCCAAATTGCTGGACATGTAGAGGTATGTTACATATGTAGAATAGTAACTGTAATTTTTCGGCTTTTCATGCTAGCCAAGGATAGATCATCAAATCAGGGGGAGGGTAAGTTCTGTGATAATTGCTAGTCTGAACATTTTGTCCTCACTTTCAAAGTAATAATCACTTTTCTAATATAGAGTCATTATCATGTTTCCAGCAATTTATATTTATTTTCATCTAATCAGCACTTCTTAAATGAGATTTTACTTGATTAGTGAAATGACTCTTGGGTCAGTTACAAAATGAACTTATTTTGAAAGTGTTTGCTAAGTAAGCTAGTTTGGTCATTAATCTTTATTTTATGATATCAGGAAATGATCTGGAAGGATTTTTGATTATTATTACATAAAGCTACTTCTAGGCTGTACCTCAGCCTTGTATTATTAGAATGTATTGTTTGTTGTTTTCACTTAACTGGATAAACTGTACATTTTCATAACAGTCAAATATTTGTGTACATGTATCTTTTTTTTATCTATCATTTTAAGTGAGGTAACAAAAGCAAATAAAGAAATATAATATCTCACCTCAAGGTCACCTGAATATAGAAGTAGTTATCTAATTTCATATCTTAATATGAATGATCAAAAATTAAAATATTTGATTCAAAAAAAGATAAAAAAACATCTAATATCTCACCCCAAAGCCACCTGAATATAGAAGTAGTTATATAATTTCATATCTTAATATGAATGATCAAAAATTAATATAGTTGATTCAAAAGTAGATAAAGAAATCTAATATCTCACTCCAAAGCCACCTGAATATAGAAGTAATTATCTAATTTAATATTTTAACATGAATGATCAAAAATTAAAATAGTTGATTCAAAAGTACATAAAGAAATCTAATAATCCACCTCAGGGCCTCTGGAATATAGAAGTAGTTATCTAATTTAATATTTTAATATGAATGATCAAAATTAAAATAGTTGATTCTATGACATTTCTTCCTGACTTAGATGAAGGTAAACATTGTTTATGAACATTAATATCTTTTCAACCTTTCCTAAGTCAATACAGATATTCAGTAATAACCGAAGTTGAACTGGTGTTATACCAGAATGTGAAGTGAAATTCTGTTTGTTTTATGAATTTAGAGAAAAAATAGTTAAAACCTTAATTTGGTTTTGTTGTGATTGATTTTTTGTTATGCATGTTTTAATACAATTGTTTTATATTCTGATTTTTGAAAATTTAACATGTATAATTTATCAATCAACTCACCCATCTACCTGTAGTCAGTTGTCTGTACGTTGTGAGCAATGTATTTTAATTATCACTTGAGTCAATTTAAGAAGGGAAATTTTTATATATATATATTAAATAAGAAGTTGATACATAAGTTGTTACTGTTTAATCTTCTTGTTTACATGTATATTTGGAAAGAGAGAGAAGATAATGATCTTTTTTATAGTTCCAAAACATACTTACCTCCACTGCCACTATAGCTATTTCTTGATCTCCAGGGTTCCCTCTTTGCACATCTATGCATTGAAAACGCTTATTCCAGTCTTTAATACCCCACTCAAATGCTCTTGGCAAGTTCTAATTTGTAAAATTTTCCACCAACTTTAATGCGCCCTCTATCTAGGTACTGTATATAAGCTCCTCGTTCAGATAATGTAATCAATTTTTCTCAACAGAGCATTTGGCACAGGTTTCTATAAACAGGAGTGTTTCCGGAGCACTGTTCCTCAGGACCCCCCAACTTTATTAGTGGAGCTTGGGAGTCCTTACCACCTCCAGTTTCCAGTGGGGTGGCAGATAGAGGCTTTTCCTCCAGAGTGTTTGAGTGTGTTCCTCCACTCTCCCACTATACCTCCCCACTAAAAGCTGCTCATGTTTCGAAAAAGTGAATACATTATCTGAATGAGGTGCTTATATATACAGTACCTAGACAGAGGGTGCATTGAAGTTGGTGGAGAATTTTGCAAACTAAAATTTGTCAAGACCATTCGAGTGGGGTATAAATGACTGAAGCAAATGTTTTCAATGCTTAGATGGGCAAAGAAGGAAACTCTTGAGATTGACAAATAGCTATAGTGTCAGCAGAGATAAGTATTATTGGAAATACATTTTCAGTTTAGAAAAATATTAACTTAAATAAGATTTTTATTACATGTAATTATTATAGTTTTTCATCAGTCTGTAGCTCTTAGTAGTTATTAATTCTGTTTACTTTTCAGTTACTTTAAATAACTACATACAGACACATACTTATGTTTAGAAAATTTTAAGGAAGTTTATTTTTATTTGCTTGTGTTTTGTTAGTTATTGCCAGAATTCACTTAAGTTCATACTTTCTTATACATTGTCATTTCTGTTAGAAATACTGTATTCAACTAGTATGTCAATGTGTTCTCACAAAACTGTTTTATGTATAAAACTAATTTGTGGTAGATGTATCTCAAACATGAAAAGATAGCATATAGTGAATAAAAAATATTACAAAATGATATGCCATACAATGTAATGGTATCTAGTAGGTCTAAAACAAGAACATTTGTTGTCATACCATAAAATGGCACGTATTAGCTCAAAAACGTAAAAATTTGTTATCATACTTTGAGATGCTCCCATTATGTTAAAAACATGAATGTTTATTACTCTGTAAAATGGCACCTATTAGGTTGAAAACATCAAATTTGTTATACCATGAGGTGGTATCTAATGGGTCAAAAGCATGAAAACCTATGAATTGGTATTTTTTCACTTAAACATTTTCTTCTTAAATTTTGTGTTATTGTTGTCATGACTTGAAATACCTGTGTGAAATTGCGTGATATGTTTGGAGGCACATTCTAGTAACTTAAGAATTAGAATTTATGTTTTAAACTGGTTTTAATATCATCATTCAGCTATAAAGTAGAATGTAGTACACAGTGTTAAGTTTTTATCCTATTTCTGTAAACCTCAAGATCTTATTGCATCATTTCAGCTATAGCAAAGCTCTGGTGATGTAAACCGTTTTGTAAGATTCCATCGTATGAAAAAAATTAAGGCTATTGTAAAAATGTTTATAGTCTGAAGGATTTCAGTGAATGAATTTGAATATAAAATATTTTTCTGATGCTCCAACACAATGACTAGTTCACTATCAATGATTTAAATATTAATATGTGACATTTTGCTCACTTTGTTACGTTTCAAAGTCGAGAAAACAGAAGATGTTTCTTCCACATATGGCAAGTGTACTTGGGTGCTAAAGAGTTTGTTTTGAGGCATGTTTATACTGTATTTACAAAGCTTGTCATTATTGCAATTTTTGTAGTTATCATTGTAATGTATATTTCAAAATAATAAGAATTTACCCTTTTTTTTTATTTGTTTAAAGTTATATTTAAGGTTTTGATAGTGTAATTATGAACTGTTTATTAAGTTTTCATCCTTTGTATTTGTAGGCCTCCGTGGAAACTGGATAGAAATAGCATATGGGACTAGTTCTGGCACAGTACGTGTGATTGTCCAA